GTAGTAGTAGTACTGCTGGTGGTACTGCTACTACTAGTAGTAGTACTGCTAGTGGTAGTGGTACTAGTGGTACTGGTGGTGGTGGTAGTGGTACTTGTAGTACTGCTACTGCTTGTTGTCTTACTGGTGGTAGAAGTCGTAGTGCTAGTTGTGGTACTGCTGCTGCTCGTCGTAGTAGTAGTGGAGGTGGTGGTTGGTATTGCTAAAATATAAAACAATTGTACTTTATTCAGTCAAATTAGAGAGAATTTATACTGAAAACATTAATATAAGATCAAATAATTCAAGCAACATTTCATTTGATTTTTATCAACTTTCTACGTAATAGTCGCAAAAAACTAATTATCAACTACACAACTTCTTAATGTTCCATTATATAAAAATAACTTACTGCAGTTGTTTGTTTGAAGAGCGAATTGTTGTACTCGACTATTATTTCGATCAGTAACATATATATTTCCATAGCTGTCAAAAGCCATACTCTGTGGAAAAGATAATTGAGATGCAGATGAACCACCGCCAGAACACCCAACTATACATCGAAAACCAGTAGAACTTGAAGCAACAATACGATGATTATAACTATCGACAATAAAAAGATAACCATTAGCATCAAGGACAATTCCAGTTGGATAGTTGAGTGTAATATTTGCTGATGAACCATTACCAACGAGTGTCACTCCATTTAATTGACCAGTTTGAACGAATTGAATACGATTATTAGCACAATCTGCAATATATAAGTTTAAATTACTATCAACATAGATTCCTTGAGGAGAATTAAGCATATTTGATAGAGATCCAGCAGAACCATTACCGGCTGCAATTGTCGGAATGGTTGTACTATTATTAAGTAAAAGTGTAACAACTTGATGAAGATTTTTCAGTGAACAATAAAGATTATTATTAATATCAATAAATAAACCATAACAACTTCCATTAACATTCATAACTGTAACACGATTTGATGTATTAAATACGTATTTATCAACTCGACCATATAAGTAACCATTATCAGTATAAATATCACCAGTCATCGACATAAAAAGACTATATGGATTATTCAAATTACTATAACTATTACTTGTTGATATATTACTCCATTGAGGCCATGATAAAATAGTGTTACTAACTCGATTAGGTACATACACAGTATTAATTCCATCAATAAAAATACCATAAGGTAATGTACCAATTGTACTACTTGATGCAAAAGTTACGGCACTCGAAGACCATAAAGCATTATAACAAAATGTTGGTTGATTATAAGAAAGACCTAAAATAAATAAATTTATATCATCGAAAAAATAAAATAAAAATAACTTACTACATGAATTTGATGCTAATATAAACTTTTGCACTCGACTGTTACCTTTATCAGCAACATATAGATTTCCATAACTATCGAATCTTAAAGTTGTTGGATAATATAATTGATTTGATGTTGAACCAGATATTGTTGTACATCCAAATAAGCATCGAAAACCATATGGTCCTTGTCCAATTATTCGATTATTATTAGTATCTGCAATAAAAAGATATCCATTACCATCTAATGCAATACCATTTGGATTATTAAGTGTAACAGTTCCTGATGCACCGGCTCCTGCTAAAGTTATTCCAGTTAATTGTCCAAGCGGAAACATTTGTATCCTTTCATTAACAGTATCTGCAACATATAAATTAAGTTTAGCATCGACAAAAATTCCATAAGGGTAATAAAGCGTAGTTGCTGTTGATCCAGGTGTACCGTTGCCAGCAACGATAGTTGACGTGAGTACAGTATCATTCAACCACTTCTTAACAACTTGATGAGAATTAGACGCCGCACAATAAAGTGTATTACTAATATCAACAAAAATGCCAGCACATACATTAGGAACTGACATTACAGAAGTACTTATATTTGAGTTGAATGGAAATTTATCAACTCGACCATATGAATAACCATTATCAACGTATATATCACCTAGAGGAGTAACGAAAAGATCAAATGGTATACTCAAACTACCAGAAAGAATTTTATCTGGATTAGTACTTCCTTCGAACCATAATATAACCTTATTAGTTTGTAGATTAGCCACATAGACAGTATTATTAATACTAACAAAAACACCATATACATTTGTTCCAACCGTACTACTATTAGCAAATGTAATCCCATCTGTATACCAAGTTGTAGATGGACAGAAGCTTGGTTGATTGATATTTGTACCTAGAAATAGAAATAAATTGAAAGTCATTAGTGTTATTAATGCAACGTCTTCATCAAATGAAATATTTCCTAATAAAAAATATTAATCTTATGTTCGATCTTATAAAGATCTTAAGAGAATTCGATAGTTTAATATAATCAGAATCAATTCCACTATTGTGTCTTGCATAAAAATAATACTAAGATTGATTAATTCAAATAAATCTCTTCGATTAGATTTTATCGTAGTTATTAAATTTTATTTAACTTACTATAAATATTACTTGTTTTAAGAAATTTTTGAATTCTATAATTAGATCCATCAGTAATAAATATATTTCCATGACTATCAAAACTTAACGTTAGTGGATTATTTAACTGATTAGATGCCGAACCAGCAACTTGTGAACATCCTACTAGACAACGAAATCCATTTGGACCTGAACCAATAATACGGTTATTGGAACTATCCGTAATAAATAGATAACCATCAGCATCAAGAACAACTCCACTAGGACCAGAAAGACTAATAGTTGATGATGCTCCAGAACCAGCTACTGTAACAGCATTTAATTGATTTGATAAAAATAATTGTATTCGATTATTATTATAATCAGCAACATATAAATTTAAATTTGTATCAACAAATATACCACGAGGATTATAAAGTGTATTTGATGTTGATCCTTGACAGTCTGTACCAGCAGCAATGATCCACATATTTGAACTACTATTTAATGATTTTGTAACTACTTGATGATATGCATATTGTGAACAATAAATATTATTATAAATATCAACAAAAAGACCATAACATGCGGCTTTGACAATCATTACTGAAACACCAGTTGTTGTATTTACAGCCCACTTGTCGACTTGACTATTTGAATTACCATTATCAACATAAACATCACCGTTAACTGTAACAAACATAGCATATGGAGAAGATAAACCACCACTAATATTCCTTATAGGTATGGTACTATTTTCAAGCCATACTTGAATCATATTTTTAGAATATTCACATACATAAAGAGTATTGTTAGTATTAACGAATAAACCATATGGACTTGTTCCAACAGTCGTAGCGTTGAAAAGAGTTACTCCATTAGAACTCCAAGTAGCATAAGCACTGAATTTTGGTAGATTGTATGAAAGACCTAAAAATATATATTTAGTAAGAATTCTTTCTATGATACTTATATAACCGATAGATTTTATTGGAAAACTGTACTGAGAATTCCGAGTATTTTTTTTATCAAGTCAAACTCGCTCGAAACGTCGTGGTACTGTTTTATTTGTTCCTTTCATTTCTACTATATTAATCAGGTGCTATCGACTAATATTGTTCTTACTTTCTGTAGCTAGATTTATTTACTTAACGAACAGTACACTAAAACGTATGATAAACTAATTAAATTTCATATGAACAATATGAAAAAATCTGAATAAAACTTCTAAAAAATATTTTATAAATAACATACTTGTCGAAGAAGATACAGTTGTAGAACTTGTTCCGTAAGTAGATGTTGATAAAGGAACTGATTGCGTACTATTCACTGATGTTACTATAAAAAACAAATCTAAATTCTGAGTAAAACAAAAATTAATAAGAAAATACCACTAGACATCGTTGTCATTGATGTTGTTCCACCTATTAAAAGACAAAGATATAATTTTAATTAGTAAAGTAAATGGGATCTATTTTCACTTACTACATCCATTTGTCACCAAGAAAAATTTTTGAATTCGATTGTTTAATATATCACTAACAAACATATTTCCATAACTATCAAAACTAAGTGAGTATGGATGATATAATTGACTAGATGATGAGCCATAAGTTCCAGAACATGCTGCTATACATCGATATCCATAAGGTCCTGAACCGATAACACGAAAGTTATATTGATCAACAATAAAGAGATATCCATCAAAATCAAGATTAATTCCAGTTGGCGAATTAAGTGTGATAGTGCCTGTTGGTACTGTTGTTCCATTTAATTGTCCTGATGCGAACTTTTGAATTCGATTGTTAAGAGTGTCAGCCACGTACAAATTTAGATTATTATCGACAAAGATACCACATGGTTTATAAAGTGTAGATGGTGTTGCTGCAGCAGTTCCTGTTCCAGCGACAGTATTCCAAATATTTAAATGTGTATTCAATGATTTTGCGATAACTTTATTAGAATAATACATCGAGCAGTAAAGCATATTATTAATATCAATAAAAAGACTATAACATGGTCCACAATTATACATTGCTGGAACACTACTATTTGCATTAAATGCCCATTTGTCAACCCGATTACTTGTATTACCATTATCAACATAAATATCACGGTTATCTGTGATAAAAAGGCCATAAGGTGAATATAAACCATCCGAGATAATACTTGTCGGTGTTGCACTACCATTAAACCAAATTAGCACGCGATTGTTTGCTGTATCAGCTACATAAACCGTATTATTTGTGTCGACAAAAAGTCCATGAGGATTTGCACTAATTATAGTACTATTAGCAAAAGTTATAGCCGTAGGATTCCATGTTGCATTTGCACAAAATTTTGGTAGATTGTATGCAATGCCTACAGTAAATAATAAAGATCATTATAAACCTAACGATAAACATTCTACATTCGATCGGTGTATTCATAATTATCTCATAGATATTTTTATTTTAAAAGAAAGATTGTTGTATGAAGTTAGATATCTTATTTGAACAAAATACATACCTGATGTTTGACCAATAAATAGCCATAATAACCAAATATTGAACATGTTAAATAATATCATATTATTTATCTAAAATAAAATTCATTTTCATATCAATGAATGTTAATATGTAATAAAAAAAATTATTAAATAGAATATTATTACAATCTTCAATAGATTTCTTTTGATGAATATCTATGTACATAATAATTGAAGATAAAGTTGTTTATATAATATTTTGCAATGTTTCCCTATAGTGAAATTAAAAAAAAGAATTTTGAAACTTTTCAAAGATTATTAATTTTGTAGTCTGACCATAAGATGAATCATTTTAGAAAAATTACTGTGATGAATAGTAATTTTTTGAGAAACTAATTATTATATTTTATCTTATCTGTACTGTATTTATAAATATCAACAATATATTAATATGAAAGAATCTATTTTTTTACCTGGGAATATACTGAAGCTACCCCATTTAATTTTAAAAAAATTTAATTTATTCTCCTTTTTCATTATCATAGTGCATTTAAAAGGACAGTCAATGAGTAGATGTCTATTTAATATTTTTTAATAATATTAAAAAGGAAAATGTTTGTCTGGTGTATTTTATTCTTTAAGCAATATTCATATTATAAAATCCAATTGTGCAACAAGAAAGATTGTTTATCATATTTATATAAGAGACAATAATCATTTCTCATTCGATTGAATTTCTATATGTTAATCTTAAAATATTTGTTAAACAATATTTTTCAAAAAAAAAGACTCCAGAAATTATTTTTTTTCTCTATTTAATTAGTTATAAAATGCTGACATATGATTAAAACTAAATAAATATTATTGGAAGTGTACGTATTTCATATTTTTTTTTAAACTGGTTTGATAGAGTTATTTCTTCTGAATAAATCATTTTTACATTATCTTTCTAAACATTTGCATATTATTACTTATACAATAAAATGAAAAGTATCCGGAAAATAAAAAAAATATGATGAATCGGATATTATTTTTGATGTATTTAATTTTCAATGATTAAAATAATAATCTTAATTTTCAACCAATTCTATTTAATGATTTTCATAGAAATTTGTATTTTAATTAACGAAAATGAGATACATCAAAAATAGTCTCTGTTGCAACGTCGAAAATGTCATTTTTTTATAATACGATTGATATTATTATCTGACTCGTAAAGATTAATAATTATTTTGACTAAATAAAAAATAATGTAAGAATAACATAAATTTCTTTAAATAAATATTCAAAATCAAAAGTAAGAAAAAAAAGAAATGAAGATTTATATTTATATATCAACCTGAAGTAATAATGATCGAGATATTGCAGTATTTGATGGTTTTACTCTTACTTAATGTCATTAAAATGAATAATCGTTTTATTATAGTTATGAAAAGCTTACCTTCTTAAAGATTCTTTTGAACAAGATGAGAAAAAAAATGTAATAGACTAATATTCTCGAGAATGTCTAATAAATATATTTGCACTATAGCATGCTATGACGTTGGTGACGATTCTATTTTCTTCTCTTATACTATGCTTCGCTTATCACCTGTAAAAATAAAAAAAAAGACGAAGGATGATAGAAATACAACATTTGGGAAATATGTATTTTAAATGAAAGAATATCACTCAATAATGGATTCATAATCTATCATATTAGACAGAAATTAAGATTAAAAAAATAATCATAGAAAAATTTTGATAATTTCTCAATTGTTACATTTTTCTGTGTATAATTATGTGAGAATTAATGAAGAGAAATATCATGTGTAGAAAATACATGATCATAGTATCGAAGTATCAACAAAAATATACAAATATTATTCATAGATATAATTATATAGTTTCAGTGCATATTTTTTTTCTCAGACAGTTTATTTTAGGTTTTCATTTGTTAAAACTCTTACTGACTAATAGAAAAAGTTGATTATTCAAACAGAACATTGTCGTCATCAACATAAAGAAAAAAAACTCTACGTGTTATTGTAGAAACTAGACAACTAAATATATTATGGCCTCTATAATTATGATTTTTTTAAAATAGAGGATCTTTGAATACACTGATTCTACTTGAAATTTTAATTATGTTGACTCCATCGCTTGAAATTCTTTTATTAAGAAAGTTAACATAAGTAGTTAGACGTTAACCAGCACACTTAACTTATTTCTTCGTGCAAGAATATGTTAGGTGGCATCATTATCTATCTTCATTTCTTTCTGATGTCATATATGTATATCGTCTTCCATTCTATTATCATATATACATGTATCATATATAGTGTGATTCATCACCTTCTTCTATATGTGTTTTCATTCTCTTCTATACCGTTCATGGATTTTTCCTTCGTTCTTCTATATAGATTTTTTCTTTCCTGTCGTTCACATATGTGATGCTATATGTTATGGGATTTTTTTCTCATTTTGAATTCCTGTTGTATATATTTCCATTATGATGATCGACCATCCTATATATCGTACGTGTTTTTCTTCGAATAAAAGGAGGGATAGGATTCTCATCTTCTCAAATATATAGTTAATTTAGATATAATTACTAAGCTCGCAACTATAATATTTTTATTCACATACATAGACAGTATATTTTCAAAAATTATATTAAACAGATGAAAATAATGTTCAATTAAATCTTTTAGAAAGTGTGAAAAATAAATCAAGTAATGTCTTCTGTGATATCCGATAAATTACGTGAATTTTGTCATAAATTATCGATGCGTTCTAAGAAATTTCGAAAAACTGCCGTCTTAAAAAACAAGATTTTCAAATCTTGGAGGATCATCTGCTCCTCAATGTTAAGACACTTTTGTAATGAATATATACAAAATTATATTTATTTATTCTATGTATGAAAATTTAATTTCAAAATTGAGATCAACTAAATTCTTTTAATATGATATATATTCAGTTCGAGTGTATAAATTTGTATAAGACAGCAGTAAAAAGTTTCAAAGACTACACGATTATTTTATAAACTGTAGTTTTTTTTGTTTACCTACTTAATGTACTGTTGAGAAAATTTCAGTCAATTCATTTAGTTAGCAAAAACGAAAAGATATTATCTATTTACAAATGATGTTGTCGAAACTATGTGGTCGAATCCGATTTCAGCAATGTAATACCCAGTGAAAAATTTCCATGAAAAATAACGGAAGTAAACGCATTCATGAAAATACGGAAACTTGTCTCTTATTTGTGGAAAACGTTCCATAGTTTAGTGAATGCATTCGTCAACGAAAAGAATCTTTCTGAGTTTAGAAGAACCTATCCTTTGCCGTTCTATATTATTACAGAATACTTTCTTCCTGGTTCAAAACTGCTCTACGTCTGTGTAGAAAGCGTTCTGAACTTTTCTATAAACTAGTAAAATCATCGTCGACCGTTCTGTTTTGGAACGGTCAGATAGCATTCTACCAAAATAGGATCGTATTCTTTGACGTTCAAGACAGGAATATCCAGAGAATGAAATCTCTAAACTGATGAACGCATTTCCGACAATCTGTGATCATTTCTGACAACAGTAGAATGGATCCGTCGCCGTTCTCTACATTGTAGAACACTTTCATCTGAATTTAACCCCAGTTTTGGTTCAAAACTGCCTATGCTGAAGTACGATAGATTAAAATTAACATAAAAAATGGAAGAACATTCGATAGGTTGTACTTCCCAGCTGACAAACTCAATTTTTAAAAAAAATATTTCATATCATAATTTGTGTAGTTTAAGATACGAGAAATCTGAGCGTGCCATTGGATAGAGCTCGTAAAGTTGCATTAGAAGAGGTCTCTCGACGAATCTTGTACTTACTTCTCTCTGAGGATTATTGTAGGGAATATGGATGTGGATGTAGATGATGATTATCTGGAACGCGTTCCAGAAAAATAAATGCCTGTTTTTTTCTTAAAAAAAGCCTTTTAGAAACAGCGGAATGTGTTCTATACCGTTATTTTCAATGATTATTTTTCACTGGGTTGATTATGATTATGAATTCACCATTATCGATAATGCTCTTGATTCTCTATTGGATCACGCTAACTCTACGACGATGTCTTACCGATAATTGCAATCAATTAAAATAACTTCTTACAATAAACAAAAAACGTATTCAACCACTATTGAGTAATCATCGATATTAATATGAGATACCGTATATAAAAGTAAACTTTTTCTATTTATATTCATGTGTGATAAGGCTGCAATTTTTGTACTATTAATAACATCAACATTGAACTAAAAGGGTGAGTGTGGATATTCTGTTCATTCCGCACCCACCCACACCCTTATTTTTTGTTTTATGTGGTAAAAATGAGATCAATCTCTTTTAGGAATGTGATTATAATTTGGTGATGATGAATGATGACCAAGAAATTGAAACACAGGCACTCATTCTTCGATTCTTATTATTTTGTTTTTATCTCTCTACTTGTTTCTCTTTCTTCGAGGAATATCTCCTTCTTCTGTAACTATGAAACAAACATTCAGTTTCTCAATTAATAATTGTATATTCTTTTTCTGTCATGCATGGCGAAGATGTAAATAATATGTATTTCCATAATTTTTCAATTTTCTCGATTTTTTTTTAGTATGTTTCATCGATAAGAGATTTATTACGTTACTAATAAAAAATATAATTTAAAAAAAGGTTATAATTACATCGATAAGTGTCATTAAAAAAAGCCTGACAATAAACATATTATTTGTTCATGAATCGATAAGTTTCATTAAAAAAAGCCTGACAATAAACATGTTACTTGTTGATGAATCGATGCGTGTCAACTGAAGTTTCTAACGGTACACAATAATAAATATTTGTTAATTAGTATTTTTCTAAACTAAAATAGGCGATGAGATTATCAGTTTTCTTATTAGAACCATACTTGGCTTTTTTGAACAATTGTATTTGTTGAGTTTTTTTCATCATTTTGTATGACAACATAAACAATCCGGTGAATAATGTTATGAAAAACAACGCGTTACAAAAAAAGCTGAGGGATGTTTTTTTTTTGAGAAAAAAAGCGTTCATGCAAAACTGGAACGTGTTCCAAAATGAAAATCACATGTCGAGAAGCGTTATAGTTTTATTCAAATACTATTTCTTATTAAAAAAATGAATTCAGTTTTTATAACGCATTCTTTTTTTCAATATTTTTCAATGAAAACGTTATAGAGTTTGAAGTGAAAGGAAAGAGTGAGAGAGTAAAAGAGAGTAATATATAGCAAAGCAAATTGTTAGCTTCATTACATTTCTTTATCTCGTCTTTTGTAAACAATTACATCATAAAAATGTTCTTTTTAAGGTTTCTTACATTGATATTATCGTCTAATATCATTGTTGAGCAATGATCAAACGACAATGCATTTCGATTGGTGAGTTGAATAGATGTATAGTACTGATGAATATCGGGTGGACATCAAACTCTGTGAGATATCTCAAAATGTTAATACAAACTCCATTAGTTAAACATAACTTTATTATATATAACTTTATGCAGAAAGCGATACATATTCACATTAGCTTTTTATCGAATTTTACACCTCTAAGAATTGTTATAAATTAATAAAAAGGTTTTTTGTTAGAAAAATCGAGTAGATTTCTTGAGGGTAGGTGTGGGTGAAAAGGATAGAACCCGCATTCACTACACCCACACGATTTCACGGACATCGTTAGTCTTCAAGAGACTTCATGTGATTTCATAAGGCTTCTATAGACTTCGACTACAGAGGTTTCAAATTTAGGAGAAAACAGCGAAAATTTTAGTCATAAATTTTGATAAATTCCTGAAATCTTTTGAATAGAGGTTTTAACATTCATGGATTTTCAGATCTAATAAAAGCTACAAATATGTTACTTTCTATTATCATAATATTATTCATTGTTACACCAACGACTCATTCGATCTATCAGTCACGATTTATGTTCAGCTCAGCAGGATATGAGTTCCAATCTCGTCATACCATTCAACTCATATTAGTTACAACGGCCCGAAGCCGAATAATCTGTTCTGCTACATGTAATGAACAACCGGCCTGTCATACATTCGATTATGACTCGGCTTCGGGTCGCTGTCGACTTTTCGAAGCAGATCAAACGGTTGGATCGATTATTGCATCCACCTCACTCACATCAGTAGTCGGCAACGTTCTCATTTCACAATCACAATTCGATCATACGTATAATCAGTCTTGTGAAGCATGCCAAGAAGATAGGTATCAATATTGTTCAATCAATGGAAGTACCTGCCAATGTCGATCGCACACATTCTGGAATGGTTCAGTCTGTTTATTACAACTCTTTGAAAACGATACTTGTTCACAAGCTGATGCCTGTCGAACAGATTTTAATCTTATTTGTGCAATAGAAAATGGACAATTCTCTGTTTGTACATCAGGTATTTGTTTCGATAGAAATCCCCTAAGTTGTCAACTAATCGAACCGATTAGTGAGAATTTTCTAAAGTTTTTCTATAGAAAACAGAATACTTTTAAAGTATATTTAATGATAAACATCACATAATAAATTCTTACACAAAAAGAAGATATTTGATAGCATGAAGTTTAGCAGATAGCGACTTTGAAAATCGGATTATAATGATAATTGACTTTCACAAAAAGCATCAACTTGATTGGAAGCGGATCATAACAGCGAAATTAAAAGAAGGAAAATATAACATTTATTTCGATTTCCTTTTCTCTGTTAAAACATTAATAGTGAATTTCTTTGTTATAGTTTAATAAAGAAACTCTTACACAAATTGTAATGCTCTTGTACTCTGTATTTCAGGTTTTACATCGCTTACTTCTACTATGATTACTACTAATCACATCAACATCATCACTGCGACTACTACTGCTGCTATCAATGCGATCGCTACTACTATCACTAATACCACTGCTACCAATATTAGTACAGGAACAAATGCATCCACCAGTATCGCGACTACAACTACAACCACTGGTACTGAAATCACCACTGCTATCAGCATTAGTACTGAAACAGCCGCATCCACCAGTATCGCGACTACAACTACAACCACTGGCACTGAAATCACCACTGCTATCAATAAGATCACGACTGCAATTGCGACAACTGACATTGAAATCACCACTGCTATCGATAAGACCACGTCTGCAATTGCAACAACTCACATTGAAATCACCACTGCTATCAATAAGATCACGACAGCGGTTACTACCGGTAAGTTATACTTTCCTATGTGTTGGCTATGATAGTGAGTATTTGCAAGAAAAGCGTCATACGTTATATATAATCATTCAAAAAGCATTTGTTTTTGGAAAGAGTTCTGCTAAACTAAAGTGATCTAATTGATCTTTCTATATAGCAACAGGAATTTGAGTACCTAATTCTTTCATCCAAAATTTTGTTTTCGACTAAAAGATGGTTCTTCAGTCGATAGATTATTGTTGATTAGAAATAATCTCAAGAAATATTAAAATAATACATCAACAGGAGCGAAAGAAATGAAATGTCAAGTGAGACCATATCATGTATCTTATAATCTGTATTGTAGTTTAACTCTTCGTTGCCTTTGACTAAACTTGATGATATCAATCTTAAGGCTGTTTACATGCGATTGACAGAAAAGGCAGAAAAGAATAACATTGAATAGAAAATGCCGAACAGATAAATATAACAGGCAAACGATGTTTTAAGGGTGAGGGTACAAGTGAGTTTTGCCTTTCTACGTTTTCTGCTTCGGCATTTTTCTTTTCTATGTTTTCCACCAAATCCCCTACTGAAGGCTAGAGATTATATTAAAGAAATGATTCAAAACAGAATATGCTGACATAGTACCAAAGAATTGTAGAGTGGTTCTAGGATGGAAATATGAAGGAAATGTTAGATGTTTATTATGATAATCAATGATATCATACATTATAGTACTATAATAAGACTGAGATCGATATTATCCACTTAGAATACAGTTGCATTTACCTGTCTATGTCATATATTTAGCTTCCACGATTATTCAACCAAATATATCAACAGTTGCTGGTTTTTACAATGGATCCTGTCCAACGTCGAGTGCAAATTTGACAGTTCTTCATACTCAAGGGGGAATAGCTGTGTCTAAAAACGGAACACTCTATGTGGGTGATGGAGCATCTCCTTATGCTCTTCTTGCTTTTGAGCCAAATAATCTTACAGCTAAACAAATATTCACATATAGCAATTGGGCAGCATACCTAGCTATTGATCCTGTAACATCGTCAATATACGCGACAGTATTCAATCAGAACTCCGTAGTAATCTGGCCATCAAATCGAACTATTCCTAAAATTCCTTCACCAAACTGTTCTGATGTGCTCCATCTGTACAAACCAACTGGTATTTTCATTGATTCTCTAGGTAATATTTACATCACTAGTAAATGGTGCAACTGGGTAACAAAATGGAATCCAAATGCTACTAATGCGACACTTGTAGCTGGGTCACTAACAGCGGCATCAGGCAGTGATAGTCAACATTTGAACACGCCATACGGCTTGTTTGTTGACGAAATACATTCATTACTTTATGTAACCGATGCTGTGAATAATCGCGTGCAAAGATTCGCTTTGGGCAATTTAACTGGTGTGACTGTTGCTGGTGGAAACGGCGTAGGAACTGCATCGAACCAACTTAACTATCCATCAGCCATTCATATCTCTCAACGGGATAATTCATATTATATTTGCGACTACTACAATAATAGAATACAAAGATGGGCAATAGGTGCAACATATGGTGTCACGATTGCTGGAAGCAGCACAGGTGTAGCGGGCAACGCACTGAATTTACTTAATGCTCCATATGATATATGGATCGATCCAAATGCTACATACATGCTTATATCAGATTCCAGTAATTGTCGTGTGCAAAAATACCTTCTTTATTAACGGAACAAAGTCGCCTGACATTTGCTTTTAATTATAATATAGATGTTGTTATTGGTTTATGAAACTGTATTGGTCTTTTAGGTCGAATCCATGAAATGTCTATCACACTTCGAAAAAGATGTTTTTCAATTTTAATATTTTAATTAAATGAATTATCGACAAGAACGGTCAAAGGTAAGAAGAAAAACCTTTTTTGATACATAAAGTTTTTCTCAACGAATAAAAGCTCTCCAAATGCTCAAAACTTTATCACTTTTCAAATGAGCCGAGTCCCTCTGAGACCTAAATCTCCAAACTTTATGTATCAAAAATGCTTAAATGCAGCATAAAAATGAAGAAAACATCTTTTTGCAAGAGCGTGATAGACATCTCATGGATTCACACATTATTCAAGCAATCACTTTTCTTAAATGTTGTTTTGTAAAATATAATATTATAAAGCATAAAATTCATTTTGATTTCAAAACATTCGAAGAAGTCTTTCTAAAGAAGAATCAGCTGACACTTCAGCCCTGAAAAGCACGCACACTCTCAAGATTTATATTTGATAGGTTCTTCGCTACGCAACAAGAACAAAAAAGTATATGAAAAGTTTAATTCTAATAAAATAATGTTATTGTCGTCGTTTAAAACATGATTTAATCGATTCTTTAAATTGTTTAAAATATAAATCTGATGTTAAAACAAAAATAAATAACATAAGCATTGATGGTAGAAATGAAATAAAATAACCAATAAGATATAACAATGGTTTACTTGATGATTTCATGCATGTTGTTAATAATGATATAATCAAACGTGGTAATGATAAAATAACAACAAGTATTGAACTTATAAGAATTGGTTTATGTTCTTTCAACTGTTTAATAAGTTGTTGGTAAAATGTTAATTTCGAATTACTTGTATTATGTTGTCGTGCTGTCATTATTATTATAAATACTGCGGAAAAGAAATTTATTAAAAGTGGAATCAAAAAATGAATGAATATTATTGTTGAATTATAAGTTTGTATGAATTTTGAATAATGTGTAACACACCATATACGATTTTCTTCATAATCATCATATAAATCACGATACATTGGCTCGTGAATAATTGATAAAAAGATGAATATAAATAGAAGAATTATTATTCGTTTAGCTAAATATTTACTCTTATTTTTATTAAAACTAACATCAATAAAAACTGAATATCCAATATCTGTATTATTTTGAGATCTTACTATGATTATCATACATTTATATGTCACATTATTTTAGTTTATGCTGTACAAACTGTGCAACTTTTAAGTAAAACAAATAATGAAGTATACAGTTAATATAATATGTTTTATTTTTTTATAAAATCTGCTCTGGCAGATCAGTATTATCACCAGTCCGCACAATTTCGTCATCGCGACATGAATTTGATCAGGGGAGATTTTTTTTTTATCTTTAATTTCTATAAATGTATCAATTTATTGGTTATGATATATGCCTGAGTTATAATATAATATTTATTTTATTAATTTATTTTAGCAACAACGAGAAAATAACAAACAACGGAAAAGATTAATTTCTTTTTTTATTTTCGCGTAGCACAAAATGAACTAAGTCATATTCAATTATAATATTATTTTTTGGAGAAGAATTATGATTAATAAAACACAACAAAAAAGAAGAAGAGAAAATTGAACAATTCAGAGACAAAACAATTTTTAATGAAATCGTCAGATCAGATGTCATGAATGAAGTTAATAAAGAAAAAAAAGAAATAGAACTACAAACACACAACAACTAAAACCCCCATTCAATGAATTATAAAAAAAAATCTTATTTTTTTTTCTCGTTTATGATAAGATCGCAATGAAATGATAAATATATAATTCATTCATGCTTGAAAAAGAATTTTTGATGTTGCATCACGTTTTGATTCCTGATCTTCATGACTTTCGAAAATTAATGGAATATTTCGAGGAATATCCGCTACTTCACGAAATCGACTTCCGATTCGTTTCGTAACTTCAGTATTTTTCCAATCTTTTGTCCATATACTTATTCGATCAGCTTTACTTCGAATTGATACTACACAACCATTAACATGTTCAGCATCTTCAGTATATTGATCACCAATTAATGAAAGTAACGTAACAAGCCAATATTTATCAAGTTCAGTTGCTCGTTGACTTTTATTTAAATTCAATGACCATCGACCACCGGAACGATTAATTCGATCTTCCCACATTGGTTGTATGTGTGTTTTGAAAAGAAAATAATCACAACCTTGACCGAGTCGACTAGCAACTTGTATATGATTATAAACTGACCAGAAATATTCAACTGTTGATACAGTTGCTAATTGTATTAAATTATCTTGCCACTTACATTGTCGATCATTTTTAAAATACCAGAATGACCAGGAATCTTCTAATGGAGATGTTAAATCATTTGATAATTGCATTTTACTAACAGTATTTTCTTTTTCTTGTTGTTCATTAGAAACAGGAGATTTTTCTTTCGGAGATAATGGATTTATTGGTGTTGTATATGTTTCATCTGATTGATTATGAGTTGTATCCACTTTAATATTTTCAGTGACGGACATTATATAAAAATTTTAAGTTGTTCTTTTGAATTTTAATCTCTTGGTAAGTTTGTAATAAGCAATTTTTCTCGATCATATGTAGAGCACGACATCTATTTTGACTTTACACATTTTACTCTTTCATTTCATTCTTTCCATATGACATATGCAACGACAAAACACATGTGATGTTTCACATACTGTCGAGAAAAGTTACTTATTACAACTTACTAAGAGGTAAATGATCTCCCCTGATCAATTTCATGTTGCAATGACGAAATTGTGCGGACTGATGGTAACATTAGCCTGCCAGAGCAACACTTATTCATAAATTCAAAATAGTCTTGATTGATGTTTTTTTTATATTCGTTTTTATTCATTAAGAAGAAAAGAAGGAACGTGATGGATATAAAAACTTGTATCACATTTCATTGAACAACTTATACATTATTTTATATATTAGACTAGTTGGATTGTATCTCAGAAATATCCAGATTCTTTCATATCAAAGTAAGTGATTACAAACTCAAGAAAAACGTTTTTTTTAATCGAAATAAATTAGAGATTATATTGTTAGATCTTAATGTATTCGTCAAGAATAAAAATAAATAGAATTTTTGTTTTCTTTCAATGATTTTACCATTGATCTTTTATATCTAAGTAACTATATACTATGTAACGTGGATCAAAATTTTTGATTTAATATTCATGTGTTGTATTATTCACTTTATAACAGTCAGATATAACATGTTCAATTTCTTGATTTTCATTGGTGTATAGGATGTTTCATTGAAAATAAATATATATTTCTCTTTAGATCCTTCTTGTTTTGTTCAATTGACAATAAGTGAATTACTCTATCTGTATCAATTCTAACAGAAGAATGATATGAAAATCTATAATCGATGATGGTACTACATCTGAACTTATCACTGGAAAGCTTTTGATAATAATAGGAAGTTACTTATTGATTAATTTCACATTAATTAATTAGATTTTAAACAAGAAAAATATCTTTTGGTAAATCACTACCCGATTCAAATGTTGACCATTTTCGTTGAGGTATATCTTGAAACACTTGTTGTAATCGTTGAAGGCCACTTGTATCATTATTATATTTTCGAACAAATATTTTTCCTATTCGATTAGGATATTTCATATAAATACTTGCATATATATCAGGATCTTTTTGAAATATATCACCAAGTAAAATAAATGTACGATTAAATGTATTATCTATAAACATTTGTATTGTTTCAGTTTTACTTTTAATATAATTATTTGACATAAAAAATGAAATGAAATTTTCATCAAACCATGTAAAATGACGCATATGAGAAGAACCAGATGGAAAATTTTCACGATCAAGAAATTCACGTAAAAATGGATAAAGTTGATCAGGAGATGCTGTTAAATAAGCAAATGTTGCATTATACTTTTTTTGCCAATACTGATATATATCAGACATGCCAGAAACAGATTTAAAATCACCACTAAAAGTATTAATAAGTGTATCTGTTGATGATGTAACACCAGTAATTTTTATTGTATCATCAATATCACTTATAAATGTTATACCATTATCATCACATAAATAAATTTCACCTAAAAATAATTATTTTCTTATCCTTTGAATTTAATTTAAAATGAAAAAAAAACTTACCAGTTGTTCGAATATTTTTATTTGGTACTGATATTTGATAAAGAACTTTAGCAGTATTAATATCAGTTCGTACAAATCGATTCATTTCATTATTAGTAATTTGAAATGTATTTTTAATTCTACCTTCATCATCTGTACTTGTACACATCGATCGATTTAAACCATCAATACATACATTTTTCTTTTCTTTTCCATGAGCTGTAAATAGTTTAATACGATTTATATCTAAATCTTTTTTAATAATTTTCTCCAATGACTTTTCCATGATTACAGCTTGAATAGAATCTTCTTCATAATACCATCCTTGATTATATAAAAGCCAATCAGTTGATACTACATTTAAATGATTTCGAAAAGCAGCTGATGGTACAAGAATTATATTTTCTTTATCAGAAAAAATAAATCCATTCGTTGTTAAAATAAGAAAAAAAATGATGCTATACATTAGTATTCGTTAAGAAGTGCAACTAGTTATATTTACAGGTTATTATATACTAACATCAAGTCCACTTTATGACATATTTAGTTGTATTAATTTTATGAATCATTTAGAGCTATTACGTATATAATTAATGTATTTTTTAATGAGTAATTCTTTATCAGTGCGTAGGCCGTTACACATGAATGAAAAAAATGAGTCTATTCATTCTTCGCTGTCCCTGAAAATATTAGTCATAAAATAATATCATACGAAAGATAATATGATTTTATTTAAGTTATCATTCGTAAAAGCAAAATTCAATGAAATAAATTTTTAAAAATATCCTGAAAATTGTTAAATATTTCTTCTGCTTTATTTTCAGCATTTTGTAAAGTAGAATTATTATTTTTCATATCGGCTACAAGACCATCTTTAACTTCATTGAAAAATGTTGAACATGTACTTGTACTATTCGTTAATTTCTCTTGATTATCAGGTATATTTAAATAATTTATAGTCGATGCAAAAATTTGTGCCATTTCATTTGTTATATGTAATGTTTTATTGATCTTATCAATTGCAATTTCAGCTCGATCAGGATGTTGTACAAAATAAGAACATGTTCCATTTGTACTTGTAAAATCTGAAGATTTCCATGGTGGCCATTTTAAATTATCCCAAAAATATGGTGAAACTGCACTAATCGATACGCAAAACTATAAATATCAAAATTTCAATATTCGAATCTTTTTTAATAAACATATAATAACTTACGAGAAGAAAAATACTACTGAGATGCATGATGAAAGTAAAATGAATCGATGAGATTTTTTGTAATAAGCTTTTATACACTGGAATAAATTATCATCACACGATTTATTATGAATATAATATGAGTAAATAGCACTTCAGCTTATAAGTCGTCGAGTATAAAAAATAAGATTTTATAAATCTGAATTAATTTATTTACTGATTGAAAAAAGTTTTGTATATGTTCTTATTTCATTCCGATGTAAATTAAAACCATTTGTTTATTATATTCTGTTTTACATTTAAATCATGTCTGATATATAGGTTATATATATACAAATCTAAAGAAATACACAAGATAATATTCGTATTAATTGAAAAAAGTTTTTAGTATAGATTTAAAAGAGCGAAATGATCATACTTGACAATTTTCGATTAGTTATATTTTATATTATTTTTTATTTTAATCATTATGATTGTTCAATAAATACTGATTCATCAGGATTTAATTTTGAACAAGAATCATTGCCGTATTCTTCTTCCATTGAAAAAAGTACTATTGTTCGTCGATCAGTTAGTAATCATAAATGTAAGTTCAAAAAAAAAGTATTGAGATATTTTATCTATTTATTTATTTAGGTGGAAATTTAACTTGTAGAAATGGTGGTACATGTAAAGATTATCAATGTCAATGTTCTGATAATTTTATGGGTCATGATTGTAGTATAGGTCTGTTGAAGTCTATTAAATTCATATTATTTTAGAAATAATTATTTATTTTAAGCACGATGTGGTCATAATTGGTGTTCGCAAACAGGCGGAAAATGTGATAAAAAAAAACAAAACTGTCATTGTCTACGTCGATCTGGTGGTCCTGATTGTAGTGGTCGTATGTTATAATGAAATAAAAGTTTATATTAATCAAGTTTTATTATTTAATTTAGTTAAATGTGGTCATGGAAAAGCCAATGGTTTAGTTTGCTTTAATGGTGCTACTTGTGGTAATGATTCGGAAACATGTAATTGTCGTTCGGGTTATCGAGATAATGGATCAGGTTGTCTAACACGTTAGTTCTAATTAAATATAAGTATATTTTTCAAAATCTAATGCATATTAAATTATAGAAATATGTTCGAATGGTGATTTATGTTATACAAATAATGGTATTTGTACAGCTACTGGATGTAAATGTCGATCAAATTCAACACATGGATCCGATTGTTCTCAAAGTAATTTTTTTAAACGTAGTAAAAATATTCTATATGCTTGAATCAATGAAGGAGCTTGTGGTAGATCAGGTTTAATCTGTCATAATGGAGGTTCATGTACTGATGATAAACATTGTCAATGTTTATATGGGTGGACTGGTGTTACTTGTACTGGTCGTAAGAGATAGAGAGACTTAATTTTATATAACATTTTAATTGTTTATTTATTTATCTAAGGAAAATGTCCGGGATTTAAGAATCTTATTTGTTCTGCAACAACATGTCCTGCTGTGGGTCATGCACCTGTATGTCAGTGTCCAGCAAATGCTAAAGGAAATGATTGTTCTGGAAGTAAATAGATGAATTTAGAATTATTTAAATCGAATAAAATCATAATTTTATTTTTATAGTAACTTGTGGAAATAAAGGATTAGCTTGTTATAATAGTGGTACTTGTAATACATCATCATCAACATGTTCTTGTTTAGCTGGATTTGGTGGAGCTGATTGTAGAGCTGGTATATAAATATATTATTTTGATAATCAATTATGAAATTATTTATTTATTTTTTATGATAGTACAATGTGCAGGACATCCAAATTTATTTTGTTATAATGGTGGTTGTCCACGTGTAGGCCATGATCCTGAAGCACAATGTATCTGTTCAAATCCTTATACAGGTACTGATTGTTCACAAATGATATGTAGTCATAGTGCACTGACATGTTATAATAATGGTGAATGTACAAATGGTCGAACTTGTAATTGTCCACCTGGTTATGGAGGAATAGATTGTCGTGGACGTAAGTGAATTTTTATTATCAGAAAATATAATATTTATTATCTTATAGTTCCATGTGGATCTGAATTTTGTTATAATGGTGGAGAATGTGTAACTAATGGAACTACTAAACAAATGCAATGTGTTTGTTCAGGCAATTATACACTTTCTGATTGTTCAGCAGAGAAATGTTCTGAGAATGGTCCTATCTGTTATAATGATGGTATTTGTGAAAGAGATGATGATGGTAATTATACATGTCAATGCATTGGAGAATGGGCAGGTGCTGATTGTTCGGCGAGTAAGGTTTTATTTTTTTTGAATCAATTATATATATTTGATTTATTTTAATAAATATAGCTACATGTCATCATGTATTATGTTATAATGGTGGATATTGTGATGATGATAAAAAAGGAAAGGATGGTTGTATATGTGTAGATGGTTGGTTAGGAGCTGATTGTCGAGCTAGTAAGAAGAATGAATTTAACTTATGCATCTATTTATCTATTGATTGTTTAAGGATCATGTGGATCTAATGGACTTATTTGTCATAACAATGGATTATGTGTAGTATCTTCTAATGGTAGTTCTGCTTGTCAATGTGAACATCCATGGTTTGGTGCAACGTGTGAAGAACGTTAGTTAAATTAAAAAAGAATTTTCTCTCTCTCTATTAATTCTATTATAATAGAGATGTGTGGTACTGATGGTTTAGTTTGTTTGAATAGTGGTGTCTGTTCATTGACTGATACTAATGATACATCGCCAACATGTATATGTTCATATGGTTTTGCTGGTGATGATTGTTCAGCTGTTGTATGTGGTTCAGAAGGTAATGCTTGTTTCAATCATGGGTACTGCAATGAAACAACTGGTATTTGTATTTGTCCTCCACCATTGACCAGTGATGATTGTCGTGGCAGTAAGTATAATTATTTACAAAGATGGACAACATTGATTTATATTTTACAGATATTTGTGGTGCTAATACAACCAATAGTATAGTTTGTCAAAATGATGGTATTTGTGTAAAAAATTCTGATGGTGAATGGGCATGTAATTGTACACGAGGATGGACAGGTCCTTATTGTATGTTAAATATATGTGGTGATGATTCATCATCAAGTTTAATGTGTGCACATGAAGGAACATGTGTACATTCAACAACAACAGGCTCTTATTCATGTTCATGTCAATCTCAATGGACAGGTCCAGATTGTTCAGGTATGCGATGTCAAGAACCTGACATTACATGTTATAATCAAGTTGATTTTAATGCTGATGTATGTACATCAAAAGGTTGTGATTGTCTTAATGATGGTTATGGTGCTGATTGTAGAGGTGTTCGATGTGGTTTAGAACCCGGTCGATGTTACCATGGAGCTGTATGTATAGATGCACATAATAGTACTTGTTCATCGTGTCCAACTGGTATTAGTGGTAGAGATTGTTCTATGAGTAATATATACATTCTTCTTTTCTTTTACTTTTGAATTTTGATATTTAGTGACATGTCCTGGTGTTAAAAGTGGTTATTGTTTTAATGGTGGCGTTTGTATAAATGGAACAACTTGCTTGTGTGGTCAGCGAAGTGAATGGTCAGGTGTTGATTGTTCTGAAAGTAAATTTGTTTTTATAATTCTATTTTATTTTAGTACTATTATTGTATTTTATAGGAAAATGTTCAGGAAATTATAGATGTTTAAATGGTGGTTCATGTAATCAGAAGTCTAAAGAACATTCATGTATTTGTCCACCGTTCTTCGAAGGAAAGAAATGTGAAATTCCAATACAACATTAATTTCTAATATGAATAATATTGTAATAACATAAAAGATTTGAAATAGAAGAAGTTATTTTATCATAAAAAGATAATAATATCTTATCAGAACTAATTTTGTAAAATAATACATGTAGGACAACAAGATCTTTTACTGAAAACATCATTGAAATAAAAAGTAAAACATAAGAAGTATTTTTTATTCATGAATATTTCAATATTAACTCATCGATGAATAATCTAAAAAAATTTTTATATCATTATGGTACATCTGTTATAAATATCCTATGTTCTTAGAAATCGTTTGATTGTATATACATGATTCGATTAAATCTCATTATGATTTCACCCGCGTCTACATTTATTTGAAATGAATTTCTATTCTTTTTTCATATTCATTCAAATAATAGAATCATGTATATGGTAATTAGAATTATTCAAATCGAAATTAATAATTATTCTATTGAAATCAGGTCACCTAGACAATGTGGTTGTTGGTTTAACAGTAGTAACGCAGCATTAACAGATAAAATTGTAAATGGATTTGAAAGTATTCCTCATTCATGGCCATGGATTGTTAGTATACGAAAACGTACATCGAGTAGACCACTTGGTGTACCTATTTGTGGTAATTTCATTTAAGATAAATACAAAATTAGTCTATTGTTTCATACTAATAGGTGGTACATTGATTAGTGAACAATATATCCTAACTGCAGCTCATTGTTAGTACATGATATTTTATAATAATATTTAATTAGTTTAGATTTTTCTTAAGGTTTTTATGAAACTCTTATAAAAGAAAAGAAATCAATTGATATTTACTTGTTTATTATTGGTGCACATTATTCAACTGATACTCATGTTTACTCAGGTTTTATAGATGAGGAAATAAATTTTTTTTTGTAAGAATATTTAGATTTAGTTATTCGTTTAACTGCTTCAATGATTATTATTCATGAAAATTATAATTCATATCGACAAACTGATGATATTGCTCTTGTTAAATTAGAAGAAAAAATTCAATTTGAAAATATTCATTTAGGTGCTATTTGTTTACCTAAAGAATTACAAATATATCCATCTGATGGAACATTTACTGTGTAGGTTAATCATAGATATAAATTTAAAAAAAAATGATATATTTATTTTAATATGAAAGTGCTGTTGGTTGGGGTCGTCTTTTCGAGACAGCACAAGAAGGCAGTGATACTCTTCAACAAGTTGTACTTGTGGTTGAAGAAGGACAACAATGTAATAGAATTAAATCAGGTAGTCAAATCAATACTCAATTATGCGCTGGATCCGTAGATTCACAAACTAATCAAGATACATGTCAAGGTGATAGGTTTGTTTTTGTGTTGATAATTTCTATATTGATCCTTTTATTATGTTAATATCTCGTTAAAAATAAAAAAAATTTCGATATTTTTTTAGTGGTGGACCATTGATGACACGAACGATAGATGGTCTTTGGGAAATTGTAGGTATAACAAGTTATGGTAAAGGATGTGGACGATTAAATGAATTAGGTGTTTATACTCGTGTAAGCATGTATTCAAATTGGATTGATATGATTAGAAAAAATCTTGACGATTATACATCAAGATCATTAGATAAATTTCACAATATATTTTTAAATTCTGCTAATATTTTTCAAAACTATTTTTTCATTTTATATTATATAATTATAATTAAAATAAATCAAATTTTCTTTTGTTTATAACTTTCCCATGAATTTTATTAATTCAAACAGAAATGAAAACAGAAAATAACATTAATATATGTAATATAATATTGAACTTATTTTTTAGTATCGGCAGCATTATTACTAGAACCAAGATTGTTACCTAATTCATTATTGTTGCCAGGACCAGGATTGTTGCCTAATTCATTATTATTGCCAG